TCCGTGTGATTGGTTGGGAAGTATATTTGGCTTTCTCTGGTTGGTTCTGAATTGGAAGCATTGGTGTAGGCAGGGCAAACATTAGGGGAGCTTGCATTTATTGGTCAAATCTTGACCATTTGGGTCTGGTTGGTGCAGAGATTGTGGGTCAGTGTTCTATTTTTATATGCTCTGACCATGATCCCTTTGTATATTGTCACCCACCAGTCATCCCCTCTGCTTCTTTCAGCCACCTTTCCAAGTAAAAGCTGTCATTGGGAGTTTTCAATAGGAACTAACATTCCAGGGTGCTGGGGGTTAGCATTTTTTCCAAGAGAAAAAGCTCCAAGTGGTAGGCCTGGTACATGCAGCCTGTGCCCAGGGCTGTGTCTTTTAGGCCTTCAGCACTGTGATGCAGAAGGGTAGCTGAGGTCTTTGATTTTTAAAATTGTGAAACTCACCCACCTATCTTAGTTCTATTGCAGTGCAGCCAGTGCTTACAGAAAACCAAATATTGTCTCTATATTCACCATATTCTCATGAGTAGAAACTAAAAAACTGAGCATACACCACATGCAAGGTCCAGCACAGTGGATGAAGTAGGGTGTGGTGGACATTCTGTGGCCACAAATTTGGTATTAATCCAGTTTCTGTATTCACATAGCTCCAAATTCATTTTTGTTATGATCTTTTTTCTGTGTCTGAATTATCACCATGGTGTAGGGAAATATGTTATGCTCTGTTACCCAGAGCCTTGGAACATCTTCCAAAACCTTCCGTCATTGAGGAATGATGTTTTGTCTTCATCTTTACTCTCTCCCTGCATCTGGTTAGCAGCAATTGAACAGTCAACTGGTGATTCACTGGATGCTATTTAGTTTGTTCGGTCAGCTGTTTATTAATCTGTAACTTCCTGTTAAGATGCAGGGTGTGCTTTTTAAAGAAACCTTACACAGCATAAGTTTTATTTTGGGACTGGCTGTACTAATATATAAAGAGGATCTGTGAGAGTTACTTAGTCTTGTAAACTATTTTCTTCCAGCAAAATTTTGTGGGTACTTACCATGTGCCAGGCACTGTTAGTGCACTATAGTGCAGGAATGAATGAGATAGTCTCAGCTTCCAGAAGTTTACCATTTGCTCCAGGAAGACAAGCATAATAAAGTGTGGTAAGTACAAACATAGATGTGCAAGGTATGGCGTGATGCAAAGGAGGAACTTGAAAATTCCAGAGGAACAGAGGAGTGAGAAAGTTTTCATAGAAGAAGCTCTAAAAGGCAATCTAGGAAAAATTTCCAACAAAGATGTCACATTTTGGTGACAACATAGACGGACAGATTGGACAAGGAAGAGCTTGAAACTAGGGAAACAATTTGAAGGTTATTTAGGAGGCTGTTGCAATGATTTAGGCAAGAGATGATAAGGGCCTAACTGAAGACTGAGAGAGAGGTTGCAGAAAAGATTTGAGAGAATTTTTACAATGGGGTGGGACGGTGGGAGGTGAAAAAAATTTGAGCAACAGTTTTCGTTTTGGAGCATTTGGTAATTAGCGTTGCCTTTAAATAGAATGGAAAAAAGGGGAGAAGGAGGCAAGTTGGGTGACAGCTGTGGAAACAATGGGTTCACTTTTGGACCTGTTGAAATTCAGGTGCCACATGGGGACATCATTCATTCATTGGAAATCCGAGTTTGAAGTTTGAGAAAGAGGTCTGGGCTGGAAAAACAGATGTGAGTGACATCTAACAATTTGGAAGCATGATTCTATTAAAAACAGATTGTGTTTTCTGTATATGGCATTGGACAACTAATACTTCAAAAGTGCAGAGTTTATTTGAAGATATAGTTTTCTCTAGAAATTTAAGTAACTTTTAGATCATGGATTTTTTCTTTAATGGTGTCATCTTTTATGTGGGGAACTGGGCATACCAGGGCAGGGGAAGAAAGCAGTACAAACTGAATACAATCTGCAAATTGAACTTGGGGGTTTTAACATTGACATTAAAAGTGTTACTTGCCTTTTCAATATTAGAGATTTAAAAAACACACTGCTAAACTATGGAAAATTGTATAGTTGCATTAAATCTTGGAATGCTGTAAAATATTCTTTACCAACAGTGCTTTACTAGTTTCTGGGAATTTGGAAATCTGAAAAGCCTATCATCTTTTATTAGACAAAGTGGGATTTTCAGGAATACCCCTCTGTAAAATTGTCCTTTGTATCCAGGAATCTAACCTAACCTTAAACTTAACTCAAACCCTAACTTGTAGCCTTAACTGTAACTCTGGCCCCAACCCTAACCCCAAGTGAATGGATCTGTGCACCTAGACCTACACCTCATCTTCAGCTGAGCCTTAACCCTAACACTAACCACCAACTTAACCGTAACCCCAACTCTGAACCTAAATATAGTACTGGCTCTATTTCTTGTCACTAACCCTATAACCGGACCTAGAACCAATAGATCTATGGGGGAGACCTATGGGGGAAAAAGGGGGAAAGACCCATTTCAGGGGTAGACCTAGGGGAGAAAATGTTCTTCAGGTCTCTAGTAATTAGATAATCAAAACTGAGCAATGAATCTCAGACTAAATGAGTAATTTATAAGCAGATCATCAGCAGACCATCTTTAACAACATATCATGATTAGGTAACCTGAGTTTTTGGTTAAAAATGTCCAAAGGTCTGGCTATTGTTCCTGGATGTCCTACAGGACATACTTGCTTCTGTTCTCTAATTTCAGAATGTGTATTTTACATTTACCTAAAGGTTGTGCGAAAATTTGGTGAACATCTCTGAAAGGAAGTTCCAAATTAAGAGTACATTTTCATAGACTTCACAAAGGTGTAGGCTAACCTTGCTCCCAGTCTTCTAGGACTCCCCAAAGTGTAAGACTATTCTACTCCCGAAGACTTACAGAAAGCTGGGGCTCTTTCATTTATATCTAAATCCTGATGTGCCCCATAGCCAGACCTTACCAGCTATAACTCACGTCTGTTAGACTAGCAGTCATTAAGACAATGTGCAGTGTTGGGCTCTGGGGATTATAGAAGTAATATAAGAGACTTTACGGCCAAGCTGAGGGAAAAATGATTAACATTCATTAAACAATGAGAGTATGATGGGACAGAATGTAATTCAGTGCTATATTATGTGGTACAGACCTGGATCTGATCTATATTATGTAGTACAGACCTGGATCTGATCTATATTATGTGGTACAGACCTGAACTGCTTCAAAGTGTGGACAATACTTTCTCTTTTCTATATAATACTCAGCAGCTTACCAAAACTTTGTAACACACATTCAATCTTTCTTAGGATCCTGGCAGGTTCATAGAAGGCAGGTATTAGTATAATTGTTCATATTTCCATATGCAGAAATAGGTTCAGAGGAGTTAATTATATCCCCCCAACTCTCCCAGCAAAAGCGGCAAAGCAGAGTTTTGAACATAAGTTGGTCAATTTCAAATCCAGTGGGAATGCAAGTCGGTCAAATCCAATGGGAAGCTCATTCTATTTCATGGAGTAAATGAGACTCGAACTGGGCCTTGGAGGATTGAGTAACATTTGAAGAAATGAAAGGAAATGAGAGTATTTTGAATGGGGTAAATACTATAAGGAGAAAGCAAGAAGCCAAGAACGGGATAGCGAAGAGACAGAGAGGGGAGTGGATGAAGTAAGATTGAAGTAAGATTGCAGAAAATGGGGCTTTGAGAGCCAGGCAAGGGGTTTTATATTATGTGTAGGGTTTCACTAAGAAGTCAGTGAGCGGATAGTGGCATAAAGGAAGTGTGTGTGGGAATCTGATTGTGTGCAGGTATACAGGGGGGATTAGAACAAGGAGGTCCCAGAGGCAGGAAGGCCATTTTAGGTGGCTCTGTGGTGTGGCTACAAGGAAGGGCCTGGAATGGGGTAGTAAGAGTTAGTGTTAAATGAAAATAAATGGGTTAAAAAGAGATGAATCAAAAGGATTGACTTAGTGCTCGATTGAACATGAGAGACAGAGAAAGTGAAAAAAAAATCAAAGAATGCCAAATTTCAAATAACTAGTTCTGTGACCTCAGGCAAGTCATAGGATCTGTCTGGGCCCCTCATCTGAAGACAATGTGATGGCAGAAGGTGACAGCAACCCTCACCTCACATGTGACTGAAACTTATTATATATGCAGAACTATTGGATTAATCAGCTGCTTTAATTATGAAGGGCAATTTTTAAATGTCTAGAAAGATATTCTCAATAACATTACTGAAAATAATGAAAAATTGGGAAATATCTAAATGTTCTACAATGGAGGAAGAAGTAAATAAATTATGACTATTATGTGGAAATTAAAAGCATGTTTGTACAACATGGGGACATAAATATCCAAAATATAAAGGTAGGTGGAGAAAACAGGACACAATACTATCTGAACATTATTAAAAATAAATATATGAGTAGAAAAAAGGACTGGAAGAAAATATTAAGAGTGATTATCTCTGGCTGATGGTAATGTGGCTGATTTGTATAATCACTTTTGTGCTTTGTACTTTTCTGGAATTTGCAAATTTTGTACAACGCTTTTTTCTTTTATAATAAGAAAAAATATTTAGGGAAAAAATGAGATCGGCCACTACTGTTTAAAATCTTTAGATGTGTTGTGTCCCTTCTGTTTAAAAAATAAAATATAGAATTGGTACATACATCCTTCTCTATCTGACTTGGAAAATATCAGTGGGTGGAATAGCTTTGAAGAAGTGCCAGAGATGGAGAGGTGACCTTCTTAGGAAACAGGGAATAGAGCTGAAGAAGATTCCGGTACTGCACAGAGCAGAGATGAGTGCCTTTACTGAAAGAAAATCGGAATCCTTCTCTGTAAGGCAGTTTGATCTTTGGAAAACGCTTACAGCTCAGATAAATACAAAAGCAGCTCCGGAAGTAGATAAGAATGTAGTTATGTCACAACTGCAAACTGCTTCATTGTACAAAGTATTTCATTAGGTCTGCTAACCTCAAGGAGACCTTTGTCAGGATTCCTCTCGGTCTTCCGCTAGGACTGCAAAATGTTGTCATTGACTGTGCATTCAGGCACAAGTGGAAACTGACTCTCCTGTGCGTTATGAAACATTTATGTGTTAAGAATTTTTAATAAGCATTTGTATAACTAAACAAAATATTCCCAGGAAATAAGACCACAATGTGCCCTTAAGGAACATAATTGAAAACCAGTAGAATAATTCTTAGAATCTTGATATTGATATGGATCCACGATAGTTCCTGGCTTTGTGCTCAGTAAACAGATAATATGACGTGACAGGGCTATTTATCTGAAGCAATATGAAGTGTTACAATGGTCTTTGACTCAGTTTTCTGCTAAATATGTTATTTCACATGACCTTGTACTATCACTTAAGTCAAAACCCATGGAATTATCTTTGGTAGGCAGATAGTTTCTGACCGTTAGAGCATTCCTTTTGGTTTATCTTGGAATTTGCTTTACATTTACTTTTGTGGTGTTTTCACTAAATATATGCTAGTTCAGGGAACTCTCCTCAAATGTTTTTTTCTCCTCCCTATGATTTATATCGGCCTTGCTATGTTTCCCCTCACTGGTCTGGATGTCACTGCCACATAACAGGTAAAACACACTAGGGTCTGCCAGGGAGAGCTTGAGTTGTCTAAATACAAAGGTCCCCACACCCCAAAAAGGCCAAACCTAAAAAGGGTCAGGGTGCAACCTCTGTCCGGTTTTTCTTTTGGATCAGCTTGTTATTAGACTTCGGGTAGGCTCAGCTATGCTAATTTTCTTGGCTGCGCTCACATCTGTAAAAACGGCATGAAAGAAAACAAACGAACATAGCAAACAGGGGAAGAACTTTCCCACTACCTCTTTCCACCTCTCAGTGTTTGTGATTTTTGCCTATATTTTATGCTGCCAAGTGGACAAAACTGCTTCATGCAGAGCTGGAGGTTTTTCCCAGTTGCACGATACTTGTCTATATAGGTTGTCAAAGTAAATACTGTGAGACCGTTTGCTTATGATATCACCATAGATGACAGAAACATTAGGAAAACAAAAATTCGCATGTCAATACTAATTTTTTAAAAGTTGGACCTCAGTAGAATATATTTGCACCTTTAAAAATGTCTCACAGGAGGAATGTAAACTGCTGGGAAGGAAGGATAGAGGATAGTAATAGAATGGGAACTTTATCGCCTTACTTGCAAAAATGAAATAATGAGGCCTGAGATGGCTTTTCTATTGTTGTCCTCTCACCCTGTAGGTTTACTTGCATGACTGTCAAAATAAATGACAAGTTACATACCGTGGATAATCAGTGTGACATCTGGGGCTCCGTAAGAGGCCACTGTTTCTCTAACTTTAGCTAACCAGTGCACTTCCTGTAGCATGCTTTTGGTTAATTGTCAGAGCCAAAGGGTCTGATTACCCTCGGCTTGTTTTAGAATCTCTCTCTCTCTCTCCCAGCTAGCAGAAGTGTCTCTTGCAGCACTTACTGCATTCCAGCGTTGAAAAAGCCTATTCTTTTGACAAATATATACAAGCAAAGAGCTAATGGGGTAGCTCCATCCATTTGAAGAAACTTTTAAATCATTTTGTAACTGATGATTCCTAATTTGCTTGATACATGTACCTTTTACACCTTTTCCTTGACAAGTGAGCCAAGATTGTGTGGTGGTTTTCACTGCGGCCTGCGGCCTGAAGCGTAGGAGAGAAGGAGAATGATGAAGAAAATATTTTTGAGATTTCACAGAGAGAAGGACTGAGATTTTCACTCTATTGAGGAATCCGCTGGAATAAACAAAGTCACTCACACCAGGCAGCTTAGCTGAATACATTTTATACTTTAAGTTTCTGACACAACCTCAAAGCAAAGAGGAACCTCTCCAAGGACCTAACCAGATGCAAGCCTGGTAAGTCACTGACTAGCACGGAAACTTTCATGTGAAGCAAAACACTAGCAAGAATATATTTTTAGGAGGAAACTTTGGGTCCTTAAAAAAATTCTGTCCTTTCTACAACCATGAGTGTGTAAAAATAAGAATTCTCACGTGGTAGACGAGGTGATTTGGGGTATTTTGCCAGGCTGCTTTGTGTTATGTTTTCCTTGGGAGGAAGGAGAGAGAGAGAAATATTCTTAGTTTTACCATCTAAATCTACTCTATAAAATCAAATTGCCAGTGACTGGGTGTTTGAGGCTACAGGCAGGTTGATGCCCTGTGAACCATGCTTTTATTTCGGTATGTTATGCAAAATTGACTGGTTGGATATACAGAGTTTTCATGAACATAAACTGAAGGATGATTTTATTGGAAAACTCAAGTATATCTTGTTTTTTTTAGAAGATCCAGTTCCATTTTTTAAAAACCTTGCTTTTTGTCCTTTATTTAATAATATCTTTAGTGTTGAAGAGATGAAACCATAAAGCATTGAGTTGATGACAAAGAAGATATAAATAAAACTGTAATAGCAAAAATATTAGAATAAGATATGTATTTCCACAGAAAAGCTGGACATTTAAACTTCAAAACACAGAGGCAGAAAAGGCAACTTTTTACTTTCCATTTATCCATAGAAATTGCCTTTATTTTTGTAACCAGACCCACTAAGCTGGCCTTTATATGATCCTTTGCCCTCATGAAGCAAGTGGGGAAATACCTCTATGTGAAATGACTGCAGTTTATTAAATGTCAAAGAGAAACTTGTTAACCAGACGTATCAGATAACCAATTGCCATGCAGAGCAGCTGCCAACCACGGGAAGTGTCAGTCTTCCCTTTAAGGACAACTGGTGACTACACAAAATGCACAGTTTATAAATAATTAGGAAAAAGAGATTTGAAAGCATGCCACTCATGTTATGCTATATGTTCCTAAAAAGAATAAATATTACCAGCAGTGTCATTCATAAGAATGATTAAGTATCAGTGTGTTAGAAAACTGTGAATGCAGGCAATTTCAGCCTAACTCCATAATCTCAGATATGGGCAAGATATAAGCATAGGAATGAGGTTTCAAGGACAAGCGTTGGGGGAGGGGAGTCCAGGTTTGATGTATTTTTTGTGGCTATGGACTGAAAAAACCAGTTTCCCAGGAAGGACTCCTGCAGTTAGGAGATGGGATTTTTTTTCCCTTCTCTAATCCTGAGAATTTCTCTTCCCTGAGATGAGGGAAGGAATGGAAGCCTCTCAGTCCCTTTTCAGGATGTTCTTTTTCTTTGCAAAGGAGGAAATTAAATTGCCAGGATGGGATCCTGGCCAAGTTAGAGAAACCCTCAGGGGATCTATGGGATTCTATGGGGCTGAGAAGGCCTACCTGACATGAACTCCCTGCAATTTTATGCAGAATTGCTGGTGAAGAACCGCTCCTTTGCGTAAGGAGAACATTTGAAGAAGAGCACTTGCGCAAGTAGAGGAGAGACAGGTCTCTGAACTACAGCTGCCTTTGAAGCTAGGGCCTCAGTTGCTCTAATATACACTCTAGATCTTGGGATATTCAGGAAAAAAACAGGCTCAATTCAAGACCTCTCGGCTCGTGCTTTGTATAGGGATCTGTGTATGGAGGGCGAGAGGACAAGATGCTTCCTGCCCTTTGCAAATAAATACAGGTCAGCCAGTGAAATTCAGGAGCACTGTAATTGGGTTAGACTTGCCCAGACAGTGACAGAGAGGGTCAGTTGGGAGTTGGGCGATGAAGACTCAAGTGGAAAATCAGAATACTAGAACACTCGGATCACAGGAAGGGAGGCGTGTGGTTCTGATGATCGAGGCAAAGAGAGAAATTGGGAGCTAGAAGTAGTCAGTGAGAGCAGAATAAGGCAGGCTGAAAGGAAGGAATCATGAAGGAATCATGACTCCGAACTGATGCACCGGGGGAGCTGGCCATGGCCACGTGGCCTAAAGGTGCTGCAGCAGATCGGGCAAACTCTCTTCCCAATACTGTGGGCAGGCAAACTCTGGCTGAAATATTTTATCATGGATTAAGAGTTACCTCAAGAAATCTTCTATTCTGACTCCCTCATTTCATATACCCGGAAAGTGAAGCCTGTGGCCTAACTAACCTAGAACCATACAGGGAAGGAAATGGGAGAAATTAGCTAAATTGACACAGTTCAGAGTCAGCAGAGATGTCTAATGGCCTTCTCACACTTGGCATGTCCCAAACTCTACCCCTACATCTTCTTTGTCTACAACATTTCTCCATTAATAGCATCTCCATCTTTCCTGGAACTTCCGGGTCACTCTTGATTTTGCTTTTTCTCTCACACCTACCTTCAATCCTTAAGGAAGTTTAGTCAGCTCTGCTTTCAGAAATATCCTTAATCTGACCATTTGGTTCAAGCCGCCAAAGCTCCGCCCTGGATGATTGCAGTAGGTGCGCTCTCTGCTTGTCACGTGCCCCCTCCACGTATATGTTCAACACAGCAGCCAGAATGACCATGGTAAAGCCTAGGTCAGATCATACTCCTCTGCTGCGCTAAACAGACAAACAAACAAAGTGCAAATAAAATATCTCCTTGAGTAGCATTAGGAAAGAAAGAGCCATTATTTATGTGATATGTGTCATTCACCTGGGAAAGGGAAGGAGGGAGGTGAGGGAAACTAGCATTTTTTGAGAGTCTACGATGGAATTTGTGTCAAGGAACTTGTATGGTGCTTTTTGCCCATCTGGCACTCATGACATGGTAGCTGTTTTTATTTTATTTAATTTTTACTGACTTCACGAGGTGGATGTTATGATCCCTTTTTGGCAGGTAAGGAAACTTGGGCTCAGAGAGAGGTTATAGATTTTAGGGTCACTTAACTAGTGGTGGTGGAGCAAGGATTCAATCCCAAGGCCACGCACCTTCCCCAATCCTATCGTTCCACTGTGATCTTTAGAAAGGACCCCCAGGAGCATACAGCAGGTGTATATATGCTATATGCGTGCATGTAGGCATTATTCACCATAGACGTGGAGAAGAAGGAAACTGGCAAAAACCCCTCCCTGGTGCCTCTTAACTTCTTTTTATAACCCAGCTGCTGAGCCCTTTGCCTTACTCCTGGACACCCATTCAGTGTCTCATATTTTCAGATGCCCTTAACCTCAGTGATCATCATTCCATTACTCAACCTGAGTTTCAATCTTCTCATCTGTAAAACTGAAATGATTATACCCCCCTCATGGATTCATTATGAAGATTAAGCAAGAATAAAAGTCAACATTTATTGAGTGCTTGCTATATACCAGATAGTACTATTTTAAGCACCTTATATGGATTAATTTATTAATCTTCACAACTACCCTATGGAGTGAGCATAATTACTATCATTGTGATCATTTAATGAGTGAAGAAGCTGAATATCAGAGATTAAATGACCTGCCCAAGGTTACCCAGCTAACAGCAAAGATTCAAACTGGGGCAGTCTGACTCTGTGGGCCCTTTGCTCCATTTCCCCTATGCGTCTTCATTTGTAAAACAAGGATAATCTCTAAATAATAAATAATATTTTTTTAAAAGTTTTATTTATTTATTTATTTGAGAGAGAGAATGAGAGAGAGAGAGAGCATGAGAGGGGGGAGAGTCAGAGGGAGGCCGATGTGGGACTTGATCCCAGGACTCCAGGATCATGACCTGAGCCGAAGGCAGTCGCTTAACCAACTGAGCCACCCAGGTGCCCTAAATAATAAATAATATTAAAATAATCATAAGGTGATAATAAAGAATAGCTATCATTTACTAAATGCCAACTTGTACAAAACGGCGTGCTTGCTCCCCTGCACTGGCCCCTCTGTAGGCCTCCAGCACTGCAGAGTTATTATAAGGATAAATGACATGACAAGTACTTGCACATTATAGAGGATGAATAAATATTGTCTGCTTTCCACCCAGAGATAACCAGTATCAATACTTTTACATAGAAACTTCTAGACACTTTTCTATGCCTATTTACAAATAAATAAGTAAATATGGATTATATTGTACATTCTATTTTCAACATCCAAATATGTTCATATTTTGGATAGTAAAAAAACAACATGCTTTCTCAGTGAATTTGATGTCACCCCCAAGTCACAAAGCATTCTTGGGGTTCTCGAGGGAGGAAAAGAAAATCTAGATGTTGCAATGGTTTGTGACTCTCTCTGCCTTCCTGAATATATTTTATTTTTGTTTTTAAGGAAGGTTCTGCATCATGTGTTGTTAATTTGCAAACTGATTGGGTTATTTTATTTTTCTCTCTCAAGAATTGAGTCTTTTTAAATTTACATTAAGCCTTTAGTTGGTTTCTTTTCTTTTCTTTTTTTTTAAGATTTTATTTATTTATTTGACAGAGAGAGACAGTGAGAGAGGGAACACAAGCAGGGGGAGTGGGAGAGGGAGAAGCAGGTTTCCCCGCTGAGCAGGGAGCCCGATGCGGGGCTCGATCCTAGGACACTGGGATCATGACCCAAGCCGAAGGCAGACACTTAATAATGACTGAGCCACCCAGGTGCCCCTAGTTAGTTTCTTTTCAAACACTTGAGTGTAGTCAGTAGACCTTCACAGGGGAAAAAAAAAATCCCCACCATTAAAGCGACAGACCACATGCTTGGGCTTCTGAAGCTGCTTGGTTTCTTCTCCGCGTGCCCCTGGCCTGTAGTTTGACTATCCCTACTTATGAAAGCTTTCATCCCCTAGTACCTGAATTCTCAAGACTATATAATCTTCACAGTGTGACAAAATGTTACAATATTTTACAATTTTTATGAAATTTTGTATTTTGCAACTATTACAAAAAAGCAGGCTATGACTCACACAGTTTTACTGGAGCCGTCCTTCAAGCAAGTTCATGAAAAATATGATCTCAACAATATTTTTTGAATGAAGCGTCAGCAGAAACTGATAGAATCTGAGAAATCCGTTTAGGAGACGATAGTAAACATAAAGTCCCTCTATAGTTTACAACTCATGTTTAGCCTTGCAGTTTGTTCTATCCCATATACATATGTACGTCTGAAGTTTTGATAGGGAATTTTTAGGTCAACACAATCTCTGCTCAGTTTTTTTTTTTTAAGATTTTATTTATTTATTTGAGAGAGAGAGAAAAAGATACGACAGCATGAGTGAGATGAGCAAGCAGAATGTGGAGGGGAGGGAGAAGCAGGCTCCTGCTGAGCAGGGAGCCCAAGGCAAAACTCAATCCCAGGACCCTGGGATCATCCCTGCTCAGTTTTAAACGGGACTGATGAATTGTTGAACACTACATGAAAAACGAATGATGTACTATATGCTGGCTAACTGAACATAATAAAAATAAATAAATAAATAAAATTTAAAATTAAACAGGAGTTTAATGTCTTAAACATTTTTAACTTTCAAATGACTTCTCTGGAAAAAAAAAACCCATAGATTTCTTAGGCAGAAAACACAGACCAACCATCAAAACAGATAATCAATATTTTTTTAATCACTCTTGAAATGATAATAAGAGCAGCTGACTTTTTTTTTTAAAGATTTTTATTTATTTATTTCACAGAGAGAGACACAAGCAGGGGGAGTGGGAGAGGGAGAAGCAGGCCTCCCGCTGAGAAGGGGAGCCCAATACAGGGCTCGATCCCAGGACCCTGAGATCATGATCTGAGCCTAAGGCAGACGTTTAACGACTGAGCCACTCAGGTGACCCAACAGCTAACATTTTTATAGCACTTGTTTACTTCTGGGCACTTCCCTAAGGGCTCTATATTACATGTAATTAATTTATATGAAGCATAGTTTTCGCAAATATCTTATGAGGTGGGGACTTTAAATAATGATTGGAAATAAAAAGAAATTTATCTCAATAAATAAATAAATTTTGAGAAAAATAAAATTGCTTTAATGTACTCATGTGTGAAAATGGGTGTAGTCAACAAATTTGGTGGTGGGAAAATAATGGAACGTATAACAAAATAGCTTAATTTATTTTTTTCTAAAAAGATAATTTAAGAAACCATTGGATAGCTTGGCTAAAAACACTTTTTGGATATTGTTTGATCTTAGAATCATCAGGAAAAAAGCTTGACCCATTTAAGAAGTCTCTTAATCATTTCACGATCTATGTCAAATTATAACGCTGTATGCCTTAAGCTTATGCAGTAGTGTTGTATATCAATTTTATCTCCATAAAACTGGAAAAGAAAAAAAGAAGTCTCTTAGGAGTAAGAGTGTCAAGGTTAAGCAAAGAAATATTGCTTGCAACATACAATTTGAAAATAAAGAAGGGAGGCATTCCTAGGAAGTTAGTAACTTAGTTGCCAGGGCAACTCTTTTATGATAAAACAAAGGAAAGTCAAAGGAAATGTACTGTATGCTGTGGGGTTTTTGTTGTTGTTTCTTCCTTATTCTATTCTGCTAGACATAAGGGAAAGAACACTTAGGGTTTTGGAGCAGAGAGGAAGAAAAGTAACTTTCTCCTAGAAAAGAAGATTCAGGGATTTTAGATTCCTTGAATAATTAAGACTTAGATACAGATAAAGTCCTACTAATTAGAATAAAGAACAATTAGGGCAATAAGCTTTCTTGTCTAACAAGATTGTTGCATATATGTAATATACATAATAGACAATTGCCCATGTCTTGGGCAATTTCTGATCTTAAGAAAAGGCTCAGTGAGTCCTTCTTAAAGTCAGAACTATCAAACTTGAATTCTAATTCGGAGAAGCCAAACGTACCTGGATGTTTGAGTTTCTTTAAATCTTGCTCTGTATCAGCTTACGTCATTATGCAAGAGTTAATAAATATTTTCCCTCTCTCACTCTATTTTCTAGAAAAGACTAATTGGCCCGATTGTAACTAAGTATTACTTCTTAGCTGGAAAGTACAGGTTACTCATCTGCATCTCCATACTTCACTTTTCACGGGGTAGCAGCTCAGCTTCCCTGCTGGAAACACAATTAGTGTTCTGTGATAGTGTGTGTATACTCAAACCTTTTGTGATAGCACACATTCTAGGTTTAATATTTTATAAAGGATTGTACACATATTGGGTCAGTGTCTATATGGTAAGCTGAATATTTTCCCATTTCTAATAAAACCCTAGCTTAGAGCTTCCTGTTTTCTGAGCTTTGTAGGAAGCAGCCAGAAAGCAGTGTGTGTTACCTGAGACGTGTTTGTTTCCTTTGGCTCTCGAGTTTGGCATCGTCTTCCCTTTTCCTTGGCAGAAGATAGAAATTAGAGCCTTGAAGGGGATTTAAATGCAGCACTTGGGGCAGCACCCTGCCAAGCAAGCCAGCCACTGACACCCGAGGTAAGGTTATGACAAGGATTCTCAACAGTTAAGACTCCAAGAGTGAAGATTAACATTCACCTTGCCTTGGACTGGTGTTAGTTTTAGTCCCCTCTGAAAACAATCGAGATAACCATGTCCATGCTCAGAATGTCTCAGTCAGCGGTGGTTCCTCTTTCAGACAAAAGTGGTGCCAAGGAATGTTACTTCTGCTCTGGCCTAAATAGCACTTTTCTCCTTATTTTAAAGTGTCATTTTACGAGGAGATGTAGTGAGGGGAGGAAAAAGCCTTAAATAAATAAGCTTTTTCTTTCTTTTTTAAGCTTTGCTTCCTGGTGACCAGTGTCCATAACATCTCTACGTAAACTCAGTTTACTCCTATTTCATCTCCAATAGCCCTGCGTGCTCTTGGAGAGAGAGGGCCTCCTAGCTTATGCAGAAAAGAAGCTATGAGGCATCTTTATGCCTTAGCTTCCCTCTTGTCTGCTTCCAGAGTAACCATATGTTTACCCATCTTATTCTCCCTCCTATCTTAGAGGAAAAGAAATCCTTCATTTCTTTCCAAAGCCAATTTTTTTCATCTTTGTTAATGATCTTTCTCTTTTCCCACACTTTCTGGGATTTAATTTACTAATCTTCCTACTCTCTCTCTTCTAGCTTTTCTTTCCCCCTGCCTGTAAGTGTATATGAGTCTCAACCTTGCACAAAAACCTTCTCTAAGATCACACACTCCATTCAGTTACCCCCCTTTTCCTCTGCTTGGTTTCATTGCCAACTTCTTTTTTTTAAAGATTTTTATTTATTTTATTTTGAGAGAGAGAGCGAGAGAGAGAAAGAGCACAAGCAGGGGGAGCCGCAGAGGCAGAGGGAGCTGAGCAGGGAGTCTGAAGCAGGACTGGATCCCAGAGACGCTTAACCGACTGAGCCACCCACATGCCCCTCGTTGCCAGCTTCTTGGTAGAGTTTTCTACAATCACTACTTTCTCATCTCTCACGTACTTTTCACCTTGGTTTCTGTCCTCATGACTCAACTGAACTTATCATAGCAAAGGTCATCCATGGTCTCAAATCCAGTGTCCTCCTGAGTGGTCATCTAACTGGACCTCAGCACAGCCCTCCCTTCTAACACTCCTCCCTGGTGTTTGTGAAGCAGCTCTCTTCTCCCTAACTAATCTCACCCTTAAATGTCACCCATGGTTCTGTCCTGGGGTTGATATTAATTGAGGCTGAGGAGATGGACTTGGCAATGGCTCCTACCATGTTCTGTCCAGAGACACTTCAAGGCATGGATTAGTCATTGGGTTCCATTTTCTCTTCTTCCCTATAGTATTCCAGAAATGAAAATTTTTCAAAATATCTGACACTCAAATCCAGGAGTTGCTATTTTTGTTTTCCTTCTTGCCTCGCCCTAAGAGAGGAAGGAATTCACCTTTGGTGACAAAGGCCTTGGTCATTCTCTTTGTCATGTACTGGCTTATTGAAGGAGATCAGAACAAAAGAGGGTCTTTACGAAGATACATGAAAACTTGGACAGTTCTTGCGTCTGGGCTCTTTGGATTAAGTCAAAATGAACATTTTCCCTACATGGTGCTACCATGAGTCCATGTGCCCCTGAGTCTGGTGTCTCAGTGAAAGACATGGCAGCACAGTCCATTCTAGTGGAGTCATTGCATAAGGTGTTTTTGTTTTGTTTTGTTTTGTTTTAAGATTTTATTTATTTGGGGACCTGGGTGGCTCAGTTGGTTAAGCGGCTGCCTTCGGCTCAGGTCAGGTCATAATCTCAGAGTCCTGGGATGGAGCCCCCTGTTGGGCCCCCTGCTCAGCAGGGAGCCTGCTTCTCCCTCTCTTCCCTGCTCATGCTCTTTCGGTATCTCTGTTGCTATCTCTCTCTCTCTCCCTCTCTCAAGTAAATAAAACCTTAAAAAAACCCAAAACACAAAAAAACTTCAGGCACTGTGGTATATTGTGAATTTTGAAAAAAAATTTATTTATTTATTTGAGAGAGAGGGAGAGAGCGAGAGCAAGCTATAGCAGGGGGGAGGGGTAGAGGGAGAGAGAGAGAAGCAGGCTCCCCGCTGAGCAGGGAGCCCCACACAGGGCTCGATCCCAGGACCCTGGGATCATGCTCTGAGCTGAGGGCAGTCGCTTAACTGACTGAGCCACCCAGGTGCCCCTGCATAGAATGTTTTTGATGCACAAGTACTATATCTTTATTTAGAAAATGGCGGTACTTGTTACAAGTTATGCAATATCTCTTTGCCATGACATTGAGAAATGTCTGGGAAATCACCCAGGGAAGCTTTCCTGTGGTCTCTGGGTATATCCCCTTAAAGGTTTCTCCAAAGTTAGATGATTCGCTTATGCTACAGATTTGTTTGTGGAGGCTGTCGTTACTTGCCTACTTCTCATTTCAGCGGAGTCTTCCTTTTCTCCTTTTTTTCTTTTCTGCCCTTCCTTCTTGCTCATGGGACTATTTTACTGGAAACTATTAATAACCCTCCCAAAACTGCACGTTCAACTTTCTTTTAAAGAACAGAGGAAACAGACAACAGAAGTTGTGCACATACCAAACTGAAAGAGAAAAACTCAGAAAGTAGCAAAGAAGCCTGAAATAAAGTATAGGATGTATCTCATGGCCGTGAGGGAGAAGGAGAGCAGACAACCTATCGCAGAAGCTCTAGGAATTTCAAAGGCCTTTTCTGGCACCGTGGTATCAGTGAGGAGGGAAACTAATCATCCCAGATAGGTAGTTGGGAGTTTTAGAGTTTCAAAATTCACTTAATATCGCACCGTTCACAGGTGTAATAGGTGTAATAAAGTTTATTTCTAGCACTTAATAAAAGCCCAGTGTACTGGGGGTTTTTTGGAAGAACTAAACATACTGATTTTCTCAGGATCAAACAGTCATTTGGTTTTCCTTTTTTTCAGACATAACTTTTAGAGGAATGTGAACACTTTTGATAATTTTCCAAGGAGCATTTATTTACAGTCACCCTTTTAGGTTGTAAAGAATTATCAGAAGACTCTTTTCTTTACCTTACTTTGTAGTTTTGTATATTCTAAACAGTTCAAAGGTTTACACCAGAATAAAACTGCTTGAATTTAGAGTGAAAGTGCTTGGGGTGGGAAAGGATTGATCATGCTAATGATATTGTATATTGTTTGTTCTTTCCTTCCATCTCCCAAATATTTCCATCCATCTATACCCAAACAAGAAGTTGTTTATTCCTTTTTGTTTAGTTTTGCTTCACATTTCTTTTTAATCAAAGTATTCACTAATTACTGTGGGAGTTTAAGTTACCCAGTCTAATAAAACACCATCCAGAGTCTGAAATTATGTAACATCCACCCTTTTGAATAATCTACAATGTTTGTAACTCAGCTGCAAAGTTTTTTTCAGGATCTAATGTTTCTTCAGAAGTTGAATGGCAAACAGCAGGGAATCTATCATTTCAGAATTCTCCTTCTGGTAGAATGAGAGAGGGAGAGAGAGAGAGACAGCAACAGAGATACCGAAAGAGCATGAGCGGGGAAGGGAGGGAGAAGCAGGCTCCCTGCTGAGCAGGGGGCCCAACAGGGGGCTCCATCTATGCTTTAGATACACGTGAACACAGTTCCAAAATTATCCATCTTGCTGAAGAGCAGATTTGAGACCAGACAAAAGAATGTACAATTCAGTGGTTTCCTTTTGCTCAATTTATAATGATTCCACTGTAAGCAGTAATAAATAATGATACTTTCTTTCTCAAACTTTGCCTTGAATCACAATCAGAGGGCCGGCTCCATACGGATTGCTGGGCTTCACCTCCAGAGTTTCTGATTCAGTGGTCCTGGGGAAGCCCGAGAATTTGCATTCCCAACGAGTTCCCCGGTGACGCTGATGCTACTTGTACGGAGACTGCACGGTGAGAACCAGTGCTTTAATTATAACGTTACAGCATGATAATTATACATGGTAATTTAATTGAGTTTCTATTTTCATCTCTGCATATGCGAGAGAAACTGAAAGATTAATGTGGGAATTTCAATTTTTGGTGAAGAACACACACTGAGAAAAATGATATTTTAAGAACTGGCTATTCCCTCTAACCTCAAAAGTATAACATAATATGTATAAAACACCTGAGACAAACCGAGTCATCTTTTTCTCAGTGATTTGCTGCTACGGAACAACTCTCTGGTTTTGCCTTTGCAAACAGACCACAAGACTGACTTCAGATGACTATTGCTCAGGCTGGATCCATTTATACACAAAACCCGTCTCATCAGCAGTCCAATTACATTTTCAATCCTGTTGGCTGATTTGACATCACAATATGTAATTAATGGTCATCTGCCCCAGTGACAGGATTAAACCAGGACATGCTCCTACAGCCAAAGCAAGTGTCTTTCTCTAGTAATTTTACCTTTGGAATTCAAACACAAATCAAATTCCCTTAGTCGCTATTCAAAGAACAAATGCAAGAGTGCCCCACAATGTGTTTTTATTGGCTTTGCCTCACTTTTTAAAAAAGTTTAAGTATTTATGGTTTTTGAAGACCACGAGTCTTTTCTTTGAATATTCCCTATGCGATAGTTCAACTTTTTTTAAAGTCCCAAGAGAGAAGAGCTCGAGGAGCTCTAGCAAGCACAACTCACACACTATACAAAAGGCAAGCAAAGATGGCACAGCCTTAATTGAGCCACAGCTGTGGCTGTGGATGCCTATCCACAGAGGCTGGGAGATGCATGCCGCAGGAGGAAGAAAAGCTCCACAGTGCACGAGGACTGCACTCTTATGGGACTGTTAGCTCTGACGACTGTTGTACAAAGGCTGATGAAGAACAGTGGAATAGCTTTGAGTATTAAACATGCACAGTAGCAGAAGTGCCTAAATATTTTTCTTTCCAAACATTTGGTGTCCTGCAACATGCAGCCTGAGTCTAAAAGAGCTATGCAATCGCTGTTGTTTAAATCTGGTTCTACGTTAGCAAAGTAATCTTAAGGGAAAACATGGGGAAACAGATCAACAACATTGCATTTGGTTATGATTGTCAAGCATGTTCTCTCTGATCTGCCTCAACTTTCAGTGTAAAATTGCCACCAGGGAGAGGCAAAGAGAGTCAGGGAAGTGCTTTTAGCCTTTGCCTCTTTCCGGCTCTTCATTTTTGAACCCTTTTGTCCTACCTCCTTTATCTCTCCCTTTTACCACCCCTTCCTCTTCTAATATAGAAAATGACTATAAAGTCATGAACTGGTTGCCCAGCTGCACATGAGAAACAATTATTTTCTTTTCTTTTTAAGATTTTATTTATTCATTTATTTATTTGAGAGAGTGAGCTTGAGCAGAGAGAGGAGCAGAGGGAGAGGGACAAGTAGACTCTAGGCTGAGCATGGAGCCCGACGAGGGGCTCCATCCCATGACCCTGAGATCATGACATGAGCTGAAACCAAACGTCAGACGCTTAGCTGACCAAGCCACCCAGGTGCCCCACAATCCTTTTATTTTATAACTATGACTAGAATAGATCTAGTCTCAATTATATTTTCCAGCTTATTCAGTCTCACTTTTATTTTATTTTATTTTATTATGTAATGATAATCACCATACATTGCATCATTATTTTTGACGTAGTGTTCCATGATTCATTGTTTGCATATAACACTCAGTGCTCCATTCAATACTTGCCCTTTTTTTCCTTTAAATTTTTTATTGTTATGTTAATCACCATACATTACACCATTAGTTTTTGATGTAGTGTTCCATGATTCATTGTTTGTGCATAACACCCAGTGCTCCACGCAGAATGTGCCCTCTTTAATACCCATCACCAGGCTAACCCATCCCTCACACCCTCTCCTCTAGAACCCTCAGTTTGTTTCTCAGTCCATAGTCTCTCATGGTTCGTCTGCCCCTCCAGAGTCCCCTGCTTCATTTTTCCCTTCCTACTATCTTCCTCTTTTTTTTTAACATATAATGTATGATCTGTTTCAGAGGTACAGGTCTGTGATTCAACAGTCTTACACAATTCACAGCGCTCACCATAGCAATACCCTCCCCAATGTCTATCACCCAGCCACCCCACCTCTCCCACCCCCCCTCCACTCCAGGAACACTCAGTTTGTTTCCTGAGATTAAGAATTCCTCATTGAGTGAGATCATATGATACATGTCTTTCTCTGATTGACTTATTTCGCTCAGCATAGTACTCTCCAGGTCCATCCACGCCATCAAAAATGGCAAGATTTCATTCCATTTGATGGCTGCATAATATTCCATTGTATATATATATACCACATCTTCTTTATCCATTCATCTGTCGATGGACATCTTGGCTCTTTCCATAGTTTGGCTATTGTGGACATTGCTGCTATAAACATTGGGGTGCACGTACCCCTTCGGATCACTACATTTGTATCTCTGGGGTAAAGACCCAGTAGTGCAATTGCTGGGTCATAGGGTAGCTCTATTTTCAACTTTTTGAGGAACCTCCATACTGTTTTCCAGAGTGGCTCCACCAGTTTGCATTCCCACCAACAGTGTAGGAGGGTTCCCCTTTCTCCGCATCCCCGCCAACATCTGTCATTTTCTGACTTGTTAATTTTAGCCATTCTGACTGGTGCGAGGTGGTATCTCATTGAGGTTTTGATTTGGGTTTCCCTGATGCCGAGCAATGTTGAGCACTTTTTCACTTGTCTGTTGGCCATTTGGATGTCTTCTTTGCAGAAATGTCTGTTCGTGTCTTCTGCCCCTTTCTTGATTGGATCATTTGTTCTTTGGGTGTTGAGTTTGATAAGTTCTTTATAGATTTTGGATACTAGCCCTTTATCTATCATTTGCAAATATCTTCTCCCATTCTGTCGGTTGTCTTTTGGTTTTGTGGACTGTTTCTTTTGCTGTGAAAAACTTTTTATCTTGATGAAGTCCCAATAGTTCATTTTTGCTTTTGCTTCCCTTGCCTTTGGTGGTGTTTCTAGGAAGAAGTTGCTGCAGCTGAGGTCGAAGAGGTTGCTGCCTGTGTTCTCCCTTAGGATTTTGATGGACTCCTGTTTCACATTTAGGTCTTCAACCATTTTGAGTCTATTTTTTGTGTGGTGTAAGGAAGTGGTCCAGTTTCATTCTTCCGCATGTGGCTGTCCAATTTTCCCAACACCATTTGTTGAAGAGACTGTCTTTTTTCCATTGGACATTCTTTCCTGTTTTGTTGAAGATGAGTTGACCATAGAGTTGAGAGTCCATTTCTGGGCTCTCTATTCTGTTCCATTGATCTGTGTGTCTGTTTTTGTGCCAGTACCAGACTGTCTTGAGGACTACAGCTTTGTAATAGAGCTGGAAGTCCGGAATTGTGATGCCACCAGCTTTGCTTTTCTTTTTCAACATTCCTCTGGCTATTCAGGGTCTTTTCCGGTTCCATACAAATTTTAGGATTATTTGTTCCATTTCTTTGAAAAAAGTGGATGGTATTTTGATAGGGATTGCATTAAATGTGTAGACTGCTCTAGGGAGCATTGACATCTTCACAATGTTTGTTCTTCCAATCCATGAGCATGAAACGTTTTTCCATTTCTTTGTGTCTTCCTCAACTTCTTTCTGAGTATTTTATAGTTTTCTGAGTACAGATCCTTTGCCTCTTTGGGTAGATTTATTCCTAGGTATCTTATGGTTTTGGGTGCAATTGTAAATGGGATTGACTACTTAATTTCCCTTTCTTCTGTCTTGTTGGTGTATAGGAATGCCACTGATTTCTGTGCATTGATTTTATATTCTGCCACTTTACTGAATTCCTGTATGAGTTCTAGCAGTTTTGGGGTGGAGTCTTTGGGTTTTCCACATAAACTACCATGTCATCTGCAAAGAGTGAGAGTGAGACTTATTCTTTGCCAATTAGGATGCCTTTAGTTTCTTTTAGTTGTCTGATTGCTGTGGCTAGGATTTCTAATACTATGTTCAATAGCAGTGGTGATAGTGGACATCCCTACCGTGTTCCTGACCTTAGAGGGAAAGCTCTCAGTTTTTTCCCCATTGAGAATGATATTCACTGTGGGTTTTTCATAGATGGCTTTTATGATATTGAGGTATGCAACCTCTCTCCCTATACCCTGAAGAGTTTTGATCAAGAAAGGATGCTGTACTTTGTCAAATGCCTTTTCTGCATCTATTGAGAGGATCATATGGTTTCTGTCCTTTCTTTTTTTTTTCAGGTTTTAAAACTGTTTATTGCATAGTAAAAAAATTGTGCATTCCAATAATTAAAATCATTTGAACAAAAAAAAATGGCACTCTGATTAAACTGCATTTTATAGCCTGCAGGACACCCTGGACCAGCTCGGTTTTTACTCTCGATTTCACTGTTGTCCCACCCAGCTTCTTCCTTCACCAACATGCAAGTTCTTTTCCTTCCCTGCCAGCCAGACAGGCAGATGGGAGAGGCAAGCGTCTTCGTTGTCAGTAGTTCTCGATTCTTTGATGTGAAAAGGGGTAGCACAGTCACTTAAACTTATCCAACCACTTTGCATCTTACAAAGTTAAACAGCTAAAAGAAGTAAAATAAGAAGGCAATGCTTGTGGAATGTACAGTGCATATCGGCGGCGCATGCCTCATTACGATTCGCCTGCTTGCTTCTCCTGTTCAATCGTTTCTTTTGAAGGCAGTGGATTTTTCTCTTGAGTTTCTGTCTTCTTCAATTTCGACTTATTGAATTTCTCAATCTCAGCCATATCGGGTTTGTCAGACATGGTTGCAGAGGAAGCGGAGCAAGGTGCGCATGCAAGTGAAGTCCGGTCTGCTCAGTGGCCGCCGCCGAATCTCTTGTTCTTTCTTTTATTAATATATTGTATCACACTGATTTGCAGATGTTGAACCAAACTTGCAGCCCAGGAATAAATCCCACTTGGTCGTGGTGAATAATCCTTTTAATGTACTGTTGGATCCTATTGGCTAGTATTTTGGTGAGAATTTTTGCATCCATGTTCATCAGGGATATTGATCTGTAATTCTCCTTTTTCTTGGGGGTTTGTCTGGTTTGGGGATCAAGGTAATGGTGGCCTCATAAAATGAGTTTGGAAATTCTCCTTCCATTTCTATTTTTTGGAAGAGTTTCAGAAGAATAGATATTAATTCTTCTTTAAATGTTTGTAAGAATTCCCCTGGAAAGCCATCTGGCCCTGGGCTCTTGTTTTTTGGGAGACTTTTGATGACTGCTTCAATTTCCTTAGTGATTATAGGTCTGTTCAGGTTTTCTATTTCTTCCTGGTTCAGTTTTGGTAGTTGATACATCTCTAGGAATGCATCCATTTCTTCTGGATTATCTAATTTGCTGGCATTATAGTTGTTCATAATATGTTCTTATAATTGTTTGTATTTCTTTTGTGTTGGTTGGGATCTCTTCTTTTTCATTCATGATTTTATTTATTTGGGTCCTTTCTCTTTTCTTTTTGATAAGCCTGACCAGGGGTTTATCAATCTTATTAATTCTTTCAGAGAAGTAGCTCCTAGTTTCGTTGATCTGTTCTACTATTCTTTTGGTTTCTATTTCATTGATTTCTGCTCTGATCTTTGTTATTTCTCTTCCCCTTCTGGGTTTAGGCTTTATTTGCTGTTCTTTCTTCAGCTCCTTTAGGTGTAGGGTTAGGTTGTGTATTTGAGACCTTTCTTGCTTCTTGAGAAAGGCTTGTATTGCTGTCTAATTTCCTCTTAGGACTGCCTTTGCTGCATCCCAAAGATTTTGAACACTTGTGTTTTCATTTTCATTGGTTTCCGTGAACTTTTTAAATTCTTCTTTAATTTCTTGGTTGACCCATTCGTTCTTTAATAGGATGCTCTTTAGCCTCCATGTATTTGAGTTCTTTCCGACTTTCCTCTTGTGACTGAGTTCTAGTTTCAAAGCATTGTGGCCCGAAAATATGCAGGGAATGATACCTATCTTTTGGTACCAGTTGAGACCTGATTTGTGACCTAGGATGTGATCTGTTCTGGAGCACGTTCCATGTGCACTAGAGAAGAATGTGTATTCTGTTGCTTTGGGATGAAATATTCTGAATATATCTGTGAAGTCCATTTAGTCCAGTGTGTCATTTAAAGTCTTTATTTCCTTGTTGATCTTTTGCTTAGATGATCTGTCCATTTCAGTGAGACGGTGTTCAAGTCCCCTACTATTACTGTATTGTTGTCGATGTGTTTCTTTGCTTTTGTTATTAATTTGCCTATATAATTGGCTGCTCCCATGTTAGGGGCATAGATATTTATAATTGTTAGATCTTCTTGTTGGATAGACCCTTTAAGTAGGATATAGTGTCCTTCCTCATCTCTTATTACAGTCTTTGCTTTAAAATCTAATTTGTCTGATATAAGGATTGCCACCCCAGCTTTCTTTTGGTGTCCATTAGCATGGTAAATGGTTTTCCACCCCCTCACTCTCAATCTGGGGGTGTCTTTGGGTCTAAAATGAGTCTCTTGCAGGCAGCATATTGATGGGTTTTGTTTTTTTATCCAGTCTGATACCCTGTGTCTTTTGATTGGGGCATTAAGCCCATTTACATTCAGGGTAACTATTGAAAGATATGAATTTAGTGCCATTGTATTGCCTGTAAGGTGACTGTTACTCTATATTGTCTGTGTTACTTTTAGGCTCTCTCTTTGCTTAGAGGACCTCTTTCAATATTTCTTGTAGGGCTGGTTTCATGTTTGCAAATTCCTTTAGTTTTTGTTTGTCCTGGAAGCTTTTTATCTCTCCTTCTATTTTCAATGACAGCCTAGCTGGATATAGTATTCTTGGCTGCATATTTTTCTCATTTAGTGCCCTGAATATATCATGCCAATCCGTTTTGGCCTGCCAGGTCTCTGTGGATAGGTCTGTTGCCAATCTAATGTTTCTACCATTGTAGGTTACAAATCTCTTCTCTCGAGCTGCTTTCAGGATTTTCTCTTTGTCTCTGAGACCTGTAAGTTTTACTATTAGATGTCGGGGTGTTGACCTATTTTTATTGATTTTGAGAGAGGTTCTCTGTGCCTCCTGGATTTTGATGCCTTTTTCCTTCCCCAAATTAAGGAAGTTCTCTGCTATAATTTGTTTCAATATGCCTTCTGCCCCTCTCTCTTTCTTCTTCTTCTGGGATCCCAAGTATTCTAATATTGTTTCATCTTATGTTTTCAGTTATCTCACAAATTCTGCCCTCATGATCCAGTAGTTGTTTATCTCTCTTTTTCTCTGTTTCCTTATTTTCCATCATTTGGTCTTCTATACCACTAATTCTCTCTTCTGCCTCATTTATCGTAGCAGTTAGAGCCTCCATTTTTGATTGCACCTCATTAATAGCCTTTTTGATTCCGACTTGGTTAGATTTTAATTCTTTTATTTCTCCAGAAAGAGTTTCTCTAATATCTTCCATGCTTTTTTTCAAGCCCAGCTAGTATCTTTATAATCGTCATTCTGAACTCTAGTTCCAACACCTTACTAATGTCTGTATTGGTTAGGTCCCTGGCAGTCGGTACTGCCTCTTGTTCTTTTTTTTTTGAGGTGATTTTTTCCATCTTGTCATTTTGTCCAGAGGAGAATAGATGAATGAGAGAACAAAATGCTAACAGGGTAACAATGATCCCAGAAAAATATACACTAAACAAATCAGAAGAGACCTGAAACCAGGGGAAAAGAAAGGGAAAGAAAGGAAAAGGGGGAAAAAAAGGAAAAGAAAAAGATAAAAAAAAGAATATGATCAAATATGATCAGTCTGGTGAATAGATCAGTGCCACACACTAGATTTTGGGCGTATTTTGGTCTGTTCGAAGAAACTGCTTCCCAAAATTTTAAAGAAAGGAAAGCTTATATATGTACAAAAATGAGAGTAAATACAATGAAGGGATGGAATATGAATGCAAAGATGAAAATTATAAAAGATTTTATAAAAGGAATTGATAAGATAAGAAGTTGTTTGAAAAAAGAAAGAAGATAAGTTAAAAAAAAACAAAAAAAGGGGAGATAATGTGATTAGGCAGGAGACTAGAACAAAGCCATACATTAGAGATTTAGGGTATATTTTGGTCTGTTAGAAGAAACTGTATCCCAAAATTTTAAAGAGAAAACAATTTACATATATATACCAAAAATAAGGTTAACTACTATGAAGGGATAGAATATGACTCTAAAAATGAAAAATAAAAAAGATTTTTTAAAAAGGGATTGACAAGATGTTGGTTGAAAAGGGGGAAAAGAAAAATTCAAAAAAAAAGAAAAAGAAAATTCAAAAAATTAGCTTTGAAAGACTAAAGAATCATGGGAAAAAAGCCATGAATTCTATGTGCAGTCTTCCCCTGGTGCTGGAGTTCTGCAGTTCTCATTGATCGGTAAACTTGGTCTTGGCTGGCTGTTCCTGCTGATCTTCTGGGGGAGGGACCTGTTGCCGTGGTTCCCAAATGTCTTTGCCGGAGGCAGAATTGCCCCGCCCTTGTTGGGTCCGGGCTACGTAATCTGCTCGGGTTTGCTCTCGGGAGCTTTTGTTCCCTGCAAGCTTTCTGCACAGCTTTGGGTGACGGGAGTGAAAATGGTGGCCTCCCAATCTCTGCCGCAGAGGAGCCGAGAACTTAGGGCCCCACTCCTCAGTGCGCCCCAAGAGAAAAGCAGTCAATCACTCCCATCTCCCCGGTCTCCAGCTGCACTCTGTGCTCACCCGGCCTGTGACCCTGTGACCGAGCATTTCTATCTCTGGCACCCGACTCGGTGTGGAGTCTCGAAACCCAGCAGATACCTGTGGTGCACTCCTGCGCCGCTCCTTCTGGGGGAAGAAGGAGAGTCTCCCCAGATCTGCCGCTTGTTGGGTCCCTGCTGGAGGAGCAGTGGCCTGACTGTGCCGCGGATCGTGGTTTATGGCGACCCCGAGCTGAGAGCCCGTGCCTCGGCTCCGTCTCTGCAGCCGGCTTCCCTGCTCTGATACCTGGGAGCTCTGCCGCACTCAGGCACCCCCAGTCTTTCTGTGACCCCTAGGGTCCTGAGACCACACTGTCTCGTGAGGGTTCCACCCCCCGCTTAGCCACTGGAGCGACGTCCCTCAGCGGAGCTGACTTCTAAAAGTTCCGATTTTGTGCTCCGCGGCTCTCGCACTTGCCAGTAGTGGTGGACGGAGGTCCCCTTCCCCCGCCGTCCAGCTTTCCGAATATCGCCTCAGATTCACTTCTCCGCACGTCCTACCTTCCAGTAAGTGGTCGCTTTTCTGTTCGGAGAGTTGTTGCTATTCTTTTCTTCGATCTCCTGTTGAGTTCGTAGGTGTTCAGAATGGTTTGATCCCTATCCAGCCGAATTCCTGGGACCAGATGAAGTTTAGGTCGCCTACCCCTCCGCCATCTTGCTCCTCCCCTCAATCTCAGTTTTTCCTCCCTTTTTTTCTTTATTCTTTTTCTAAGGCTCAAACTGAAGTGTCCTCTAGTTTTCCCACAAATTCTCAGGTTACTTTCTTTATTGCCCAGTGGTGTGTGCTCAAGATGATGTAACTCTTAATACTAGTTTCTCCAAAGTGTAACTAAAAAATAGTGATCTGCAAACATCACATGCAACAGCCAATAAATATATGATTTTTAATATTATCTGTGATTTTGGATTACAAGTGACTGTTCTCCATGGTAATAGATAACACAGTATATTGCCTCATACTTTTAATAGGCCTTAAATTATTGACTGATTGATTGTCCTTCTGTCCTATGAGTTTAATGATGCAAAAACTGAAAGATTGTAAGTATACTTTTATAATTGTTCTCAACCCAATGGTTTATT